ACTCTCTCTCTCTCTCTCTCTCTCTCTCTCTCTCTCTCTCTCTCTAATATTATTTATTAATTTCAAAATTACTTTGTGTAATTTTGAAGAAACTAGCAGAAGAGAAAAAATTCATCATTTTCATATTAATTTTACCGAACCAAAAAAAAACGTTTATTTTATACATGTTTTTTCCTTCTTTTACTTTTTACTTGGTTGTTTGTTTGTCAATCGATGAAAAAGAAAAAAATAGGCCGAAAGGGATTTTTTCGATTATCAAAAAAAAAAAATTCATTTTCAAATGTTTGTCACACTTATATAGTATGGGAAGAATATTTTTTTATGATTTTAAAGAAATCAAAGAAGAAGAAAATTCTTGTGCAAACAACATTCTACGCCGTGCACACCACACACACACCACACGTTTTTATTGGATAAGAACCAGCCAGACATTAAAAAAGGAAAAAAATTTATCAATAAAACATGGAGCCAAACATGGTTCCATCAATAAAAAAATGATAAAATAAAATTGAATATCGTTAAAATAGTCGAAATGGTCGAAATAGTCGAATTATCTAATATAATATGATGTATCAAGTTCTCAAGAAAAGTAAGGAAGGTTAAATAATAATGATGATAATAATAATAATAAAAAAAACTTACATCAAGTCCACATTCGTTAACATATTCAAGTGTAAATATATTAATCGGTCCTTGTGAATGATACCAACCGGAAAATATTGGTATAAATGATATTGCAGCTGAACAAAGCCATATGCTTAATATACAACAGAATAAACGTCTTTTTGATATTAATGAACGATAACGTAATGGACGTGTTATTGCCCAAAATCTACACAAAAAACAAAACAAAAAATTTGACCATAAAGCAATTGAAAAACAACAACAAAAAAAAACATTATTATCAATATTTGAGGACTGTAATTTTGGGGAAATTTTTCCGGAAAGAAAATTAATTTTTTTTTTGGTTATGCGAGGGTGGAACTGATGCATTAAAAAAATAATCCTGGAAATTTTCTTAAAAAACTTACCTATCGATTGCAACACAACATAAATGTAATATACTTGCTGTACAGCACATAACATCACATGATATCCAAAAATGACATAATACTGGTCCCCAAGGCCAAAAACGATATAGATCATAAACAACAGTGAATGGCATTACTAAACTTGCAACAGTTATATCAGCTATTGCTAAACTAATATTATCATCATCATCGTTATCGTTATTATCGTTGTCGTCGTCGTTATCATCATCATTATTATTATTTTGGGCACCAAGAAAAAAACATCGAAAGAAAAGAGAAGAAAAGAGAGATTAGTTTTGTTTGAAATGAAATGAAATGAATGGGAGAAGATTGGCAAAAAAAATTCGTGAATTAATGAAAAAAGAAGAAAATATTTTCGTATTTTGTCTTTTTTTGTTTGTTGTTGTTTTCGTTGCTAAGACAAGCTTAAAACACAATGAATGAATGAATGATTCAAAGAATGTGGAAAAAGCAAAACAAAGAAAAACAATTAATCATTGAATTGGTTTTTATCATTGGCAGCTATTCAAAAAACAAAAAGATTCGGGAATTTTTACCGGAAATAAGATGCATTTATTTTTTTCCCAGAAAAGATTCCCTCTAAAAAAATGGAAAAATGAAATTCAATCATCGATCAAAAACAAAAAGCAAAAAACAAGAACAAAAAATATCCGGTCATAAAAATTGTACACCGGCTATTTCGACTTTTTCTGGTTTTTTTTTTTTTGGTTTTCTAGCTTCTGGTTTCTGGGTTGTTTTCCTGGTTTCCAATCATCATTATTCATTTCGATCTATGATTATAAATTATAAGAATTATTTTTCGGTTGAAAGAAAAAACAACAACAAAACATTATACAGAAAATTATTGCATAGAAAATTGAGCTTATTATTTCGTTTGGCTCCCGAGGCGTAATACCTAATACACACACACACACTATAAACACTATTCAAACCTTAAGAGAAATTCATTATTATTATTATTGTGAATGAATGAACGAACCGAGTAGAAAATGAAAATGAAAATTAATCAGAAATAACAGCATCCCCCTTCACCCCCAAAAAATGAATGAATGGTTAAAAATAGAAAAATAAAGAAACGATTGGAAAACCAACAAGAAAAAATTTCCAAACCACATCACATAACATCGAAATTCTAATTTACAATGTAAATATTTGTAAAATTGATTTTTTGTTGTTGCTTTTTTTCCGGTGCAAATAGTGAATGAATGAATTTTCATTCCAGAGCCTTTCATATATAATCAGAAAAACATCTTGACATTTTTTTTCAAAGAATAATCAACAAAAGGGTTAAAAATTTGATAAAACAATAACAGATATATCAATTCTTCACAATCAAATCAACAGCAACAAAATGAAATGAATTTCAATGATGAAGGTGGCGAAATTTTCAAAAAAAAAATTGTTTCAATTGAAATATGTAATGTGTTTGTGTGTTGTTGGATGTGTTCCCTGTGGGCTTCACAATTTGGCTAAATCTGACATCATCATCATGATGGCCGAAATCAGTGCGAGAGAAAAAAACCAACCGATTGGGAAATATTTCACTGAATTTAACACTGCGTTTTCAGTCATCATCATTGGAATAAAGCTTCTGAACAGATCCTGAACAATATCCTCTTCATTGTCTTTTACCATTTGATCCACTAGATCCATTCAGCAAACTTGCTTGCCTGCCTGCATGCCATCAAATAAATGTTTGAAATTATAACCAATGTAATAATAATGAGTTGCAAGAGGAAAATTTCCAGAAAGAAAAATTCCAAAAAAAAACACCTATTCCATCTTTGAACAAAAAAAGAAAAAACCCAAAAATAAAGATTTGTCAATATTTGTCTTTCTACATTTTCTTATTTCATTTATTCATTTAAAATTCTGTGAAAACAAAACCAAAACAGGTAACATGGAATAATAACTAGAGCAGGTAACATGGCAAAATAATAATAACCACAACCAACCATATCGATTCTTTTCGTTCATCATTGTGTCATTGTGATGCTGATGATGGTTATTGTTATGAAAAACGAAAAACAAACATTTCATTCATGTTGGAACACATATATATGACGAATGAATGAATGAATTTCCATTTACAAAGAAATTTCCCGAAAATATTGATAACAAAAAGAGAAAAAAATGAGAATATAACCAAAAAATGAGAATAATAACAAGGGAGAAATTATTACGAAACATTTTTTTTTCTTTTCGTTCGAAAACCATGTGTAGGTGGATGAATGTGAACAGGTAAGGTGTTTTGCTTCTTTTACCTGTTCGGAAAATAATGAACGAAATAATAATAATAATGATTACCCCAATTACATAATAATTATATATCAAACGAATGTGATTATCAGAAAAATATGAAACAAAAAAATGAAACAAAATTCAAATAAAGATGTTTTGTATGAAATCTTTCAATTTTTTTTCAAAGGAAAATTTTCCCTGTCAAAATTCTACTTATAGGAAAAACAAGAATCGTGTGATTTGCGATCGTTGATAATAAGCATAATTCCCCATATGTGTGTGACGACAAACACGAAAAAAAGACATCTTTTTCTTTCACCCAGACTATAATTATGTACAAGGTAGATTTTATTCTTCAAAGAAACAAAGAATAAAATCTGTCAATCTAAATTGCCTCAATTCTTTGCTTCAAATCATAATAAATCATAATTTATATAGGAGAAAAAAAAACATAAGGAATTTCCAGGTTTTTTTCTTCTTCTATTAATTTTCCAAGGTATCCAGGGATGTGTATTGCTTTTGCTCCAGTTTCTGCTACTGATTCTGCTGCCGCAGCCGTTCCATTAAAACCATCATTTTTTTTTGTCTTCAAGTAGTCTTGCTTGTTCTGAGAGAACGTGCAAACTATCTTTTTTTTCCAAAAGAATCAAGCAGAAAAAAAAGCAATTTCGCTTTTTGCATACAAAAAAAATTTAATTTCAATTTTAAATTTTTCTCTTCTCTTTCTCATCACCAATTCGTCATTTCTTATCTTATCTCGAATTGAAAAGAATTGTCGATCACACATAACCAATGTATTGAAGCGGAAATATTTCCGAAAATAAAAAAAACGAACTCAGCCAACCGATTTTTATCGAAAAAGATTCTCGTTTCTAATGCCAATCATCATCATTGTTGTTGTTGGAGCATCGTTTGAGCATCCAAAAATGAATAATTCATTCATGCAATTATTCACAAAGAGAGAGAGAGAGAGAGAGAGAGAGAGAGAGAGAGAGAGAGAGAGNTTGTTGTTGGAGCATCGTTTGAGCATCCAAAAATGAATAATTCATTCATGCAATTATTCACCATGAGAGAGAGAGAGAGAGAGAGAGAGAGAGAAATAAAAATTTTCAAATCGATTCTAATCATAATGATAATAATAAACGGGATTTGAATTTGAATTTTTCAGTTTCTCTGTTTTTCATCATCATCATTGCCATTGTTTTTGTTGGGAGAAAGAAAACTTCCCAGAAAAAATATTGATTAAATTTAAATTTTAAAAAAACAAAACAAAATCCAGAATCAGAATATTTTTCCCATTTGGAATTAATTAATTACCCAATGGATTTTTTCTCCCAAAACAAAATGAAAACTTGAATATTTTCTAGTTTTGTTTTTGGTCACCATGGATAATATATTTAGTGAAGATTATCACCAATCACTGGGAAATATCATTTTTGTTGTTGTTGTTGTTGTTTCTGGCCCTGATCAAATCCCTGATTTTGTTTTTCTGCTTATATTTTTTTTAATTGATTCCAGAGGATCAAATTCAGTTTGATTAGCTGAATCATATAGTCCATATTTCAATTAAGAGAATTAGTGATGATGATGATGAAGAAGAAACAAAACAAAAAACAGAACAAATTTTGAGTTTTTTTTCGTACTTGAAATGTACGAAATTGAAAGAATTAAAAGTTTTTTTTTCCAATTTTGATCACGATCATCATTATTATCGAATAAAGAGAGAGAGAGAGAGAGAGAGAGAGAGAGAGAGAGAGATTTAGTTTTTTCTTTTTCTTTCTTTTTGAAACGAACTGAAAACTTTAGGCTGAAAAATTTTTGTTTTTGTTCGAGGTTTTCTTTCGTTAAATGGTCATATGGTTAATTGCATCATTTTTTTCNGAAGAAACAAAACAAAAAACAGAACAAATTTTGAGTTTTTTTTCGTACTTGAAATGTACGAAATTGAAAGAATTAAAAGTTTTTTTTTCCAATTTTGATCACGATCATCATTATTATCGAATAAAGAGAGAGAGAGAGAGAGAGAGAGAGAGAGAGAGAGAGAGAGATTTAGTTTTTTCTTTTTCTTTCTTTTTGAAACGAACTGAAAACTTTAGGCTGAAAAATTTTTGTTTTTGTTCGAGGTTTTCTTTCGTTAAATCATATGGTTAATTGCATCATTTTTCTGGGTTGCTTTTTGGTATGTTTTTGATTGATGATATTTCTTCATTTTTTCTGGGTTTTTTTTAAAAAAAAAACAAATGCAATTTTCATAATCGTTTTTTTCAGTTTTAATCGTAAAAATCCCAAAAAAAATTGTTGTCTTTACAAAGCAAGCAATTACCATCATGTGGTGATGATGGAAAGCCAAAAAGTCTAAATCAAAGAATGATATTTTCTTCAAAAAAAAAACATCAAAATCTTTAGTGATTTCAGGGGGCAGCAGCAGCTGCTATATTACGGTTTTTATGGCTTTTTTTCCTTCCCGTTTGACTGAAAACTAAAATTTGAAATATGATTCTATTATCATCATCAATGAGGACGATGAGAGACTGTTGTAATACGAGCATGTTTGAGCAATGGGAAGCCATAGAAAAGAAAATAGATAATTTTTTTCAAAAAAAATAGAGAAAAATCAGCATAGTTGAATAGTAATTACATAATGGAATGCCAGATGAATAACAGAATATTATTACACTACACATTACATTGACAATAAACATCCATAATAATAATAATAATAATGTACAGTTTCGTCAACCAACATCACATTGAAGTTGTTCAATCTCTTCATTTCTCCTTCTTCTTCTTCTTTTTCTTCTTCAAAAAGATTTAAATTTGATAGTAAAGCAAGTTTTTTGAATTTATTCATACAACAAGCAAACATACACACAGCAGCAGCAGACAACAGGACATTGTAAAAATTTTCA